GAACCTTCCGACACTCTGGGACTGGGAAGGCTCTCCTGCACTATTGTGACATTGGTTCAATACTATTATTATTATAGTTGTATTCCACTCATGGCAATTACTATAAAACAAGACATGTACACTTTAAGCCGTTTTTTTTTGTAGCCCATGATGGAAAGGAGCAGGGAGAAGAAAGTCTCATTTGACCTGCCCCTTATTCAAAAATAGACGGTCTGTCAATCCAAGCTGCTTACAACCAATACTTACAGTAACAAGAAATCAAAATCAACACAACAATCTACCATCAGCAAAACATGTAACCCGACATCTTCATACTGTCTAATTATTCTTACTGTATACATTTTCTTAAACCTAAAGATGTTCATACAGCCCTTTAAATCATTTGGTAAAGAATTCCACAGTTTAACGCCAACTACAGAAATACACATCTGCTTTAAAGTAGTCCGTGCAAACTGATGCTTAAAGAAGCATTTCCTTCTGCCCATCCTCTGAATTTAAAACATAGAATTTGTTTATATTTTCTGGAAGTATTCGGTTGTTTACTTTATGCACAACTAATGACGTCTGTAATTAAATTAAATCTTTAAGTTTTAACAGCCTTGACTAAACAAACAGCGTATTTGTGTTTATAGGCTACTTCATTATTTGTGTGTGGACTCGTGTACAAACTTCTTGTCTCTCCCACAGAAATCTGAAGCCAAGCTGGAGGAGATCTTGAAAGAAATCAAATCCCTCAAGGACCTGGTCAGCAGTCAGGAGAAGAGAATCATCAAACTTGAAGATCAAATGTCCAAAATTGCCATTTAGGGACCCTTTACCCGACCCGCTACAATTCAGGACGTTCCATTGGCAGGGGGACCGTGTTTCGTTGGAGGCCTGCCTAGCAACGATCCCTAGCAACATTCCAGATGAACTTTTTCTTAGCCAGCCCCCGACCCTCAAGTTTAACACAGATGGAATAAGGACGTGTCACTCTTTATGTTGACAAAGGACCCTTTTCCTTTAATCATGTGGCAGTTTTTTTATTATTTTGTCTACTACTAAAAAAAGGTCTAATGTAGTCCTTTGCATTTTAGAAATATGACCAAGAAAATAGTCCCCATTTGCCAAAATGCATACCCAGATATTTTTTAAGTATCAGTGTTTCATATCACCATAGCCCAAAATTATAATGTTGCCAAATTTGACATTTTGTTTACACCCCCAACAGTATTTCTTTCTCTCTGTGTGGGAGGAGTCAAAATGCAAACAGCGCAGAAGACCAGGTTATGTAAGGGGGTCATCGATACTACGAGATTAAAATAATTGTAATCATTTGGTTATGCTACGAAGATTTACATCTCAAACTGTAATTAGGGGGAAATAAATTCAGGTTGAAGAACGATTTAGCTGCCACAGTCTTCACCAAGCACCCAAGACATTACATATGATTCCTGCTGTCTGTGTTGAAAGTAACTCCTGCTTTCTGCCATTTCTCCTCATTCCTGTCGCTTCCCGTCATTCAGGCTGTGACAATAGTCCACGTAAACATGCATTCCTCTCTGTTTAGCTTCATTAACATGCACCGTGTGCTTATTGAAAAGAAAAGAAAATGACAAACACATTCCACAAATCTTATTGGCAGTTTTTGTTGTGTCGGGGAAAAAATACTTCTGTAACGTTCCTCCTCCTGTGAACACTGTACTGTCGTGACTCGGTTGGTTGGTTGTTATCGTGACATCGATGTGCTGCCACTGAAAATACCAACTTTGTGTATTTTCAACCTCAGCTCTGCTTTGTTTCTGTGACCGGTACAGACACCGACCTCAGTGTTTAGAAGCTGCAGTCAAGTGTAGTGGGATTATTTGTTGCCTCTGTTCATTTGCTTTAATTGCCATCTCAAGATCTGTACATTCTGAACAAACAAAACAGGAATCGACATGACGACAAGTAATCACACATTGACTATTTAAAACCTTCTGGTGGTAAAACTGGAGATTGCTACAGAAACTGTTCATGATAGACCTTAAAGGCCTAGATTGTGTGTGTGAATATGTGCCTCATGTCTTTGGTCTTTTGGGTACCTGTCACTTAGGATGTTCCTGCTTTGTTTCTTATTTGGGGGAGGGTTATGAAAAGGACTCCAAGACTAGCCTCCATCTTGGATGAATTGAATCGTTGGGATATTGCTTCACTGTTAATTTTAGCCCGTTTCTTGTTCCAGCTGTGCTAATATCCCTCTTAGTACTTCCACTTTTTTGTAATGGTTTATTTCTCAGATGCCCCTGTTCAGTATAGTTATCAGAATATCAAAGAACCATTGTGTTGTCCAGTCTGAGCTGGTTTGATCAGACGGCTACGATAAAGCTCCTCTTGATGTTTTAGTTTAGTTTCCCAGTGGGAAGCTGAGACGGGTAATGGTTCAGTCTGTTGTTTGCCTTCAATATTTGTTACCACTGTAAAGACCTGAAAGTGCCATAGAGGTAACCATGGAAGTGTTTGTAGGGGACTGTTGTGAGAGTAGATGTGTGTAGTAAATGGAAGAGTTGATAGGTGGCCGGCTTTAAAACCACTTCGAGGTGCTACACCTATGTTCAGAGGACCCTGCTCCTAAAGTACTGTCGTGAACTCCTGCCAATCCATCGCACAACACACCAGGCTTGGGGTTTGGCAGAAGGCACGGTGACATTTTTGACACTTTCCATCTGGATACGGGTATTCAAAACATCTTCGTAATGATGTCAAACCGAGAAGCTTTTTTGAGTCATCGTGGCTTCTAGGAGCAGCGTGTCGTAGAATATAAGGAAATCTGAGAGTGCTAACTGTTATACTGCCATATCTTGTATATCAGACTGCCACTCTCTATAGCACTGTCGGCACAGAGAGGAGATGAGAAGTAGTAGTGAATAGCGATCCAAAGGGACTCGGTAGGTTGGAGAAGTGTGCAGTTGAAAGATAGATGTATGTTTGTAATTTAGGTCTAGAAAAACTGAGTGAAAGCTTTGTAAATAACATGACCATATTTTCTGTATTTTTTTATTTTATTTCTTTTGTGGTTGTGCTGAAGAGGGTATTTGTGTGGGAGGTGGGTTTTAAATGTTTCCCCTTTGTCTGTGTTCCCTGCACCTTGCCATAATGCACCATGAGAAAAGCAGAGCCTCCGTTGATTATAAGAAAAATTAATAAAGAATTTTTAAAATGGCTTGATCTTTTGCATTCAATCATTACTGTTTTTTGTCATCTTAACAGGATTTCTTTAGCCTTTCATAATAAGTTATAAGTCCACAGTTTTAGTACAACAAATCTGAACCTGCACTGAAACCAACAGGAAGACTCTTAAGATAAATAAAACCTCAAACTTCCAATTTCTCCTATATTTTCGTGTCAACAAACCTCATGAAGGGCGGAGGTGGGACTTGGCTTGGCAACTGGAAGGTCACCAGTTCAAGTCCCGGAAAGTGCTACCGAGGTGTCCCTGAGCAAGGCACCGTTCCCTACACTGCTCCCCGGGCCCCGTACATAATGGCAGCCCACTGCTCCTAACACAAGGATGGGTCAAATGCAGAGAAACCGTTTCGTTACATAGTACCTGTACTACATAATGACAATAAGTTCAATCTTCAATGAAAGACCAACAATGTGTGTTCCTCAGCCCGTCCAATAGGTATACCTAATTCTTAAAAAAAATGGTATTGCTTGTATAATGTCGTTTTTGTTCTCGTAAACTGCTGTGCACTGTCGTTTTTAGAAACTTGCAAACCGACAAGAAAATACTGCATTTATTGGGAACCTTTTTTTGCTCCAGATTTATACATTTTTAGTGCTCTGTCACACTTTGAGTGTTTACTGCAGCAGGATAGTATACTGTATGTGCGACGGACGAAATAAAATAAGTGCTAATTGCAACAAAGGAACATGTCAGCTAGTGCAACATTTAGTATCTTAATGCTTGTTTTCTTAGACTGTTACATCGGCTGTATCAAACTTTGTTATGGCATCAATTATTATTTGGATCAGGTGTTTTAATATGCCTTTGTTTTAAATCGTATTCTCTTGTATTGACTGGGGCACAAACTATAAAGTAGATGGATATCCCAAATGGATAGTGAACTGAAAGTGCAGTAGCTTGAAATAAAGACAGTTAGTGATGGAACAGCTAACTTTGATAATTTATCAAACTAATGCAGTCTCTGTTACATCATGCATTACAAACTCAAAACTACTACATTGTGTGACACAGTAATAGTATAAAAGATTCTTTCACTCTGAACATGCACAATTGCTACCTTCTCAGCGAAAGCCCACTCTGACCAGCTATAACAAAAACATCTCACACCATCTGTCAAAATAACCTGAATGAAATAAGAAAGAACGCATCGGCAGCTTTAAATAGTCGACCTGCATATTTAGGGATGTATCCAGAGATAAGTGCTGCTAAAAGACTGTGCCGTTTATATGTTCGCCCTGTACATGTGTTTGGGGATGAAAGGGGTTGCTTTCTCTCTGCGCTGCTCTTGTAGACAGGCTGTAATCTACGGGCACTTAATTAGAGAGGACTCAGTGGGAGGCAGAGGAGTTTTGGGACTCGCCCCGCCAAGTACAGAAATACACATTTCCTTAAAACATGGGACTCGTGTTCTCTCTGCAACATCTCTGCAGGGAGAGTCAAGCTGAAAACTCAGGCTGAAGTGAAATGAACTTAAGTCAGCACACAATGTGGTAAAATACACTTTAATATAAAATGAATACCCTTTCTAAGACAGTTCAGCATTTCTTTATATATAATAAATAATGGTGTAAAAGTATGTACAGAATCACTCTGCATGGCTGCTCCCTCCCTGTCATAATTCATAATGTACAGTAAAAAGGTTGAGTCCCAAATGGACGCCCCATGAGTGCAGAATGATGAAGAGTGCTGGTGGGAGGTCGGAGAAAAAGAGGGATGGACATCATTTCGCAGAGAGCAGACTTTTCAGGGCTGAGTAAAAAAACGGTCAGTATTACTGAGCAGGGAGGGCGGATGCTCGGAAACTCTTCACTCTTACTTTCCTCTCCAGACTTTGTCTCCCCTTTTCTTCCTCTCTGTATTCCTAACACAAGATAAACTCGGGATTACACATTCTGTAAGTATATGTTTATATTTGCAATTTAAAGTGGATGTTATAAAGAGTGTAAAATCTACAGCCAATTGTTTCATTTACATCAGAGCTCAATATGATGAGTAATATTTTACGTTTCAAATTCATTAATACAACATGTAGTATTGGAGATAAATGTATTACAATATGGCAATTTTAAGATGCTTGTTCTTAAGTATCTTTGTTTGCATATTAGTATGCTTTTTTATGCTATTTTGTACTTCATTATGTTAAGCAGAAGCACCTTTACTTATTAGCTATGGTAACAAGACAGATTTTCAGTTTATAAAATATTGTGCATTTTTACAGAATAAACTAACTTACCCTTTAAAAAGAAGTCTAATTAGCTTTAACTCTATTGTTATATTAATACAATTATACAGCAATCTTTTGTCATGCATAACTGTGCTTTTGACACAAAAAGTATGCATTGCTAAAAATACTTTTATACAGAGCTTTTACTTGTAATACCATTTTTTTCCTTGTCGTATTGGTAGTTTCCTCTTATAAAATGGACTTATTCTGACGCTGCTAACATCTAAAAACAATACTGACCTTTACTTAAATGATCAGAAATGTAATTCATGTTTATACAGAGGGACTCATTTACAATCTGTATTTCTTTACACTTAATGCCTACACCTTGAGATAAACAAATATGTTGTATGTAAGAAAATGCTTTGAGATTATCTAAACTATTCCAGAGGCTCCATCTTTGCAAATGTGTATTTCCTGGGCACGCTTTACTTTATTTTATTTTGGTGTGGACCGCATTTTTCCTAAACGTCCACGTATGCCAGACTGTATTTTGTGTAAATGTGTCCAAAATAATGGCTAAGACATCGAGCTCATTCCTTTTAGATATAGCCCTTAAGATGTCATCGTAGACATTATGGACACATAAGATTTGAAAAGCTTTTTGTAAATTAAAAGAAAATTAGGAGCTGGAGAGATTAAGCACTCACATGTCATGAAAGGGATGAATCGCCCCAGTGATGTCTGAAGGTATTTAGTTGAAGGTAATGTGGCCCCTCCAGAAAAATACAGGGAATGTAATTATGTCTGTAATTATAAGATTCAGAGGGCAGTGCTGTACTATAGCTGTACATCCAAGGATGAAGACCCAGCCCTCTGTGGTCCAGCAGAGCGGAGACTGTATGAGCGACCACACAGGGAGGGGGATCTCACTGTGGGGGGAAATCAGGTTTCTATAGCATGATGCTGATTAGAAGCTTGTCTTTACATCCTAGCACCGTGTAATTATATCCTGTAAATGGTGACAGACTGAGCCCTGCAACACCAGAGGTGGGAAGTAGTGGAGTACAAATATTTTGTTACTGTACATTTTTCTGGTATCAGTACTTTACTCCACTACTTATTTTATAACGACTTTTTACTTTTACTTTTTACATTTTGAACACAAATAGCTGTACTTTCTACTTCTTACATTTTCAAAACAGGCTGGTTACTTTAGTTTTAATCTGAGTTTGGTGGCGTGATCATTATTATTTAGAGTCATTGCGTGCCTCTTGATTTGAACACGATCCGTGTATCCATCATTTCCTGGTCTTCTCTAAAGAAGATCGACCAATGAAAACGTTGTCATGTTGCCGTTGCTCAGCATCAAAACATTAATTAGCTAACAATGACATTATTGTTCTATTAATATAAAGGGAGGTCAGGTACTCTTTAAAACAGCTGGTAGTTATGGGTACTTTTTACTTAAGTACATTTCAAAGCCCTCTTTACTTTTACTTGAGTAAAGAAGTTTAGTCAGTACTTCTACTTTTACCAGAGTATTTTTAAACACGAGTATCTGTACTTCTACTTGAGTAAAGGATGTGTGTACTTGTGCCATCTCTGTGCAACACTAGCTACCTTATGTTAGAGTTCAACATGACATGGAAATGGAAGAAAGGTAATATTGGGTTAGTACGTTTATACAGTCAGATGTTCTGTCAGTACATTTTCCTGGAAGCAGGAATCTCTCCATCCGTCTGTGCTGCTGCGGCTCGGCTGGTGCTCAGCAGCTGCTGCCCGGTGTAAATATAGAGGCCGCAGCCGCAGGTCTCCCACGCCTCTGTGCTCCCCTGGAATATAGCTTCCTCTTGGCTTTGGTGTGGTGGATGGGCCTCCCTCTACTTTACAAATTATAAGGCCTTCAGCACCAAAACTCACTGTCTCCACCCCAAATAAGTAATGGCTACTCTGCTGCCTGCTAAAATAGATCTGGTGAAAGATGGGAAAGGCAGAAAAACCTGAGTCAAAGATTACTGGCGTTACATTTCAGATGGAAAAAGCTCTTAAAACAATATTATTATTCTCTCATTAGCATATTTTGCATTAAAGACTGCTTGACACTGGTGAGTATAGTTTCTAAACGGGTCCCAAGAAAAACCATAGGGATCACAAGATTATTAAAAAAATCTTCCAAACAACTTCATATTTTACATTATATTTTCTGTCTTCTTCTTAGTCTGTTCTCTTGGTCCGTTTCTTTAAAGAAATTGTTTCACGTTTATTGCCAAGAGTTAGATTAAGATGACTGACACTCTCATGTTTACAATAAATATTTAGCTAAGGCAGGAGGCTTAGCTTTGCATAAAGACAAATCACAGGGAGCGTGGTTAACCAAAGTTCAAATAAACACCAACCAGCGGCCTCCAGGAAGTCACTGCACCAGGCTTTTGCTCGCCAAGAAAAAGTTATTGTACCTTTTATAACTCCCTTAAAAAAAAATCTGCTTGTGTTTGGATTAAAGAAAGTGGATGCAATGTTTATCCCTGAGCTTTACATTGCTGCTAGAGGACTTCTGTAACCTTTAGACAGAGCCAGGCTAGATTTGTCAGTCTTTTGCAAAGCTCACCAACCTCCAAGGGGTCACAAGTCACTAAGTCAATGGATCTCCTCAAGATAAGAATTACAAATAAAACATTTTGTATGCTAAATTCATGATGTTGTTGTCGTTGCAGGACGCTGAGGAGAAGATGAAGTCCCACACGTTTTTCCTTGCCACCTGTGTGACCCTGCTCTCGCTGTGTCATGCTACTCCGCTGTTCTACAACATCTCCATGGACGGCAGTGGGGATGAAGCAGAGCTGGAGCTCCTTCCCATCTCCTTCACCACTCGAGCCCCCGTTCTCATCTCCGCTGCTACCGGACCCCCCAGCCTCACCGCCACCATCACCAACACCATCACCACCACCATGATCCGCCTGAAGGACTTTGTCTTCACCCGAGTGGTGGACTTCCTGCAGGAGCATCTGCTCATCATCATCGTGGTGACCTCTCTACTCATCGTCATGGTCTTCATCATCTGCTGTGCCTCTGCCATGAGTCAGAAGCGTAAGCTGGAGACCTACAAACCCCTTCCTAACTCAAAAAAGAAGCTTGCGGCAAGCAAAACAAACGCACCCAAGAACTCCAGTGAGCCTGTGGAGAAGCCCTACGCCGTGGACCACGTCAAGAGGGTCCAGACTCAGAGCATGGCTTCCCCCAAGACCCTGCGTCAGCCCTCCAAGGCTCTGGTGGGAGAGAGGGGGCGGGACGTCCGGTCGTCGCCTCGCCAGGAGGTGAGGAAGGTCCGGGAGGTCGAGGAGGTGGAAAAGCGCCAAGAGGAGCCCAAGCAGAAAGAGCAGCCGAGGCCCAGGGAGGAGGTGCAGCAGAGCCCCAGCACCAGCGCCGTCTGCACCGTCTGCACCTGCCACCTGAAGAAGGGTCACCACTAGGGGTCAGGGCTGATGGTGGCAACCATGACAGAACAACAAGATCCGGTTATACTGTACACATTTGGAAAGAAATCATTGGGATTGAAATCTGAAATACCTTTGGATAACAAAAGCCAGCAGGAAATGTATTTGTAAAGCTCATGCCCAAAATATAACTCTCATCTGATGTAAACATGAAATTAAAAGTTAAACTATTGGATTTAGCATGCATACATCCTGTCTATAAAAGTTGCATCTCAAAGTTTTTGATTTATATAAAGGGTTAAAAAGCCAACAATTGATAATATATGGCTGATTTTTTATTTGTTGTACCTGCTGACAACTTTTCCGTTTAAAGAGGCTCAGTGGTCCTTAGTCTTGCAGTGGTTGGCCAGTAGGTTTTTTTTAATTATTATAAGATAAGTAAGTCATTGTGTTCAGAAAGATTATCATTATTGCAATACTAAGTTAATATTTTGAGACAGATATAATGCATGGATCTTTTATCCATCACAAGGCATATTTGTGTCTTATCTTTTGTATTTAAGTGACTAATATAATGTTACTGTGCCATTAAGGTAGCATCACTTGAAACCGTGAAATACCATTTTTTTTTTATGGATACAATTGTTTTTAAAAGAGAAAAATAAAAATGATGATAAATGGGCAGCCAATGGGTTTCCATGGCTCCCTAAAAGCAATGACAGATCAGTATCCGTGTGTTTTTGACACTGAGATGTGTGACTCATGCCTGCCTTGACAGAGGGATCTCCTCGTACGTCCTGCTGTTCGCCTCGGCGTCTCTCCTGCGGCTCAGAGCTCTGACCTCTTTAGAGCTCACCTCTGCTGCGGTAAATAAAGCAAAGTGAGAAGCCAGAAGCCGGATTGTTCTAACAAAACAATCTCTTTTTATTTACCTTCATATTTACTTATCTTCGTTTGTTATTTCATTTTTTTATGTCATATCCTATTGCTTTTTACTTCACAAACCTAATTCACAAAGGTTTACACCAAAAGCACAATTTTCAACTGTGTTACCGGTTACATTAAGTACAAATATATATTATCTATCTGTATACATATTTATTTTGGTTGATAATTCTGATCTGCCTTCAAAATAAAAGCAGCTTTTTTGGGGGGGTACAACAACTTTGTGAATCAGGTTTTTATTTTATTTTAATAAGTAATACTTATGTTTAATTTAAATAATGGGTTTTTATCCTTCATGTAATAATTAGTAATGGGTCAAAAGCTTGAGTACAGGGATAGATAGTTGGCCTGTTTTGCTGTTATATTTAGCTGTATTTGTTTTGATATTCCTATGGTTTTGTTTGACTAAAATGTAAGATTTGTTTAAACTCTCCATCTTACTGTCCCCTTACTGAAGTCAACGACTCAAATGTGTGAGTTTTTATGCCTTATGGGCCAGACTTTTCTCTTTAAATACTTTTTAACCTCAGATTGTTGTCCTCAGATGTTTCCAAACAGATGCTTCCTTTGTAAGTGACAGTTTTGTTTTGCTTGTGTTGAATAAAATTGTTGTTAACAACGTTTCTGTCATTATTGAAAATGGTAGAAAGGGTTTCACGATGAAAGACATATGCAGCTCCGTAGAAACCTAAGATTAGAAAAGGCGCGGCAGGTCTAAAAAACATTATGTTCCACTCGGGACTGTAATTCAGAGCTGCATACACTGAAGAATCATGGGTAACTATTTTTAAGGTAATTGCCCAAATGTCAGATTTGTATATGTGCTCTCTGGTGGGAGGAGCTGTCTTCCAACTTAACAAGGCCAAGCTGTGCACACACACTCTCTCTCACACACACCCTCACACACACACACACACACATTTTCATGGTTGGCCGTGGCGAGGCACCATCACACCCGGACCCCGGCCTGCAGAAGGTATCGGAGCCTGGAGATGACGAGGGCCCCGTTGTCCTTCACTGGCAACTCCACAAGATTGCTTAAATATTTCAGCAGCAGTGAACCAGATCCATACAGAGCCCTTTGATCCTAAACAAGCCCCCCACGTATTGTCTGTATGAATCTTAAGACTCTGATTTCTGTCAGTATTCAAAGACAATACTTTTGGGTTTCTTACTTTTAAAGGGCAAAGAAAAAGTACCCTTGTGTGAAGAGTACAAGTATTGATATCAGTTATGTCATGTGAGTGAATGCACTTCTTTCTACACCATCTGCCACTTTTACATTGATACAGGTACACACATATGCACATCTATTGTTAAAATGTATCACGACATTATTAAAGTGTGATTACATATTGCTAATATTCCTAAAGCACAATCCATTAATAAAAAAAGGTTTGCTCTGGATCAAAAGTGTGTCCACTCTTCAAAGATCAAACATCCAACATGACGACAGCAGCTCTAAGGCTAACGTAATCCTGTGTGGGGGCTGAAACGTGAGCCCTGACAGAGCCTCGCACCGGGGTCAGATTCCACGCTCTTTTGTCAACGAGGTGCTAAATAATTAGAGAAAGTACAACCCCTTCACTTTCACTCTTCCCAGCTGGTGACGGGAAGACACACAGCTGCAGGGCCACCCAGCAACACTGTCTGTTCGAGGTCCACATTGACTGTTTACAGGAAGCTTGGTAACGTCAGATCAGGATATATTTGGGATACCTGTGTGCTCTTTAACATCTCTAGCTGAAGTTCTTGCTCTGTGTAGTTTGACCCCTTTCACAGACCTGTCAATCACTCTGAGAGGTGAAGAGGATCCAGAATAGGTAACACAGCACCTTGAGGCTGACGTTAAACTTTGATGAGCATCTGCCAGGAATTCTCATCGGTGGTTATATCTGAAGAGAGACAGGGGGCCATGTGTGGACAATCCTGCCCATCTCCGCTGAGGAGCCGATAAAACAGGAAGAGGAAATGGTAAGTGTGTGTGGGCCTTTCATAATTCATTTTTGGGAATTATCAGTCTTATAAGTCATCGTTTATGAGTTTAAATTATTACATGTTGCTAATAATGGCTTTATAAGAGGTTTGCAGTTGTTTATAAATACATGGATGTTGTTTCACATCTCATGTAGTTCTCATTTAGAGGGTCAAAGGTCAGAGATAAGAGGTTTAAGGGGTGAAAAAAGAAAACAAGTGATATCTGGGATATTTTCCCGAGGCCTTTGGTAATGTCTTATTCTTAAAGCATTGTTAACATATCTAATTATCATTAATAAACCCATTATTAGCAATTTGAAGTACCCGTTTTGAAGTTGTAGCAAGTAAGAAATGTGTTTAATGTGGTCGTCTTCATTATTCCTGGCAGTGAGTCATGCTTGGCTGCAGATGTGGTGGAAAGGTTTATGTCCTCCTGGTTCTCTGCATCGGTCCTCTGGCCTGCCTCCTCCCCTCCCCCTGTCCCCCCGGCTGCTGCTGCCCAGGGTTCCTGGTCCTGTGCGAGTCTCTGGGCCTCAGGTCGCTGCCTCGCTCCGTCCCTCTCAGCACCGCAGCTCTCTCTGTGGCCAGGAACCAGCTGTGTAACGTGGACCACCTGCTGCGGCCCTTCTCCGGCCTGCAGGAGCTGAGCCTCAGTCACAACCTGCTGCCCCGCTTCCCCCGAGGCCTCCCCCCCAGCTTGGAGTCCCTGCTGCTGCAAGAAAACCGCATCACGTTTATAACCTCAGGCGCCCTGCGACAACTGGGGAACCTCACTCGTTTGGATCTGGAGGACAACCGCATCAGTGCCATCCAACCGGGGGCCCTTCTGGGTCTCCCCAGGCTGCAGGTCCTCATTCTGAAGGGCAACAAGCTTACAAGCCTCCCTCTAAATCTCCCTCCATCACTGACACATTTGGACGTCTCAGCAAACTGCATCTCTGTCCTGGACCTGCCCTCTCTGTCTGCTCTGGTCAACCTGCAGGTCCTGAAGATCAACAGCAACTGCCTGCGCTCGGTCCCAGAGAGCGCGTTCGACGGCCTGCCGCGCCTCAGATCTGTGGACCTGACCAACAACCTCTGGGTGTGTGAGTGTGACATCTTGTATCTCTACCGCTGGCTGCTGAGAGGCAGGGTGAGGATGGCCACAGACCTGGTTTGCAGCGAGCCGGTCCATCTCGCTCACCGCCTGCTTCTGGATCTGTCCGTCATGGCCATCTGTCCTCGTGTCCTGAAGCCCAACGAGAGGACACAGCAACTGGACCCGAGTTCTGCCCTGGAGATAGTGAAGCCCAACGAGAGGACACAGCAACTGGACCTGAGTTCTGCCCTGGAGACAGTGAAGCCCAATGAGAGGACACAGCAACTGGACCCGAGTTCTGCCCTGGAGACAGTGAAGCCCAATGAGAGGACACAGCAACTGGACCTGAGTTCTGCCCTGGAGACAGTGAAGCCCAATGAGAGGACACAGCAACTGGACCCGAGTTCTGCCCTGGAGACAGTGAAGCCCAACGAGAGGACACATCAACTGGACCTGAGTTCTGCCCTGGAGACAGTGAAGCCCAACGAGAGGACACAGCAACTGGACCTGAGTTCTGCCCTGGAGACAGTGAAGCCCAATGAGAGGACACAGCAACTGGACCTGAGTTCTGCCCTGGAGACAGTGAAGCCCAATGAGAGGACACAACAACTGGACCTGAGTTCTGCTCTGGAGACAGTGAAGCCCAATGAGAGGACACAGCAACTGGACCTGAGTTCTGCCCTGGAGACAGTGAAGCCCAATGAGAGGACACATCAACTGGACCTGAGTTCTGCCCTGGAGACAGTGAAGCCCATGGGACCAAGCCCATCTAAACCCAAGCAGTATTTGGGAATAGTGTCAGAGCTGATATCAGAAGAAACCACTGATGGACTTCTTTCCAAAGATGCTCATAAGACTCGTGTGTCACTTGACCACTACTCTTTAGAGACCCTCACCTATGAGGAGTGTTTGTCCCTAAATAAAACACAACCATCCAGCTCACCTGATTTAAAAACCACTTCAGTCCCTGCTGAGGAACAGAAATGCAGAGACAACATCACAAGTGGGTCCCCTCACGTTAACACAACCCCTGCTGAAGGGACTCGATCTCTACTCTCTACTAACAGAGATGCACCCCGGCCCACTCTGTACCCTCGACCGCTCACACAACACGACTCTGTGCTGGTCGTCTCTCTGCTGGCAGTGTTATGTGTGTTAGTAGCTCTCCTGATGCTGGTGGTGCTGCTTGTACTGAAAAAGGTTCTCCTGCGGCACCAGCAGGTGGCGCCGCTTAATGTAGGGTCTGGTGGATTACAATGACACACAGGCACGGATTTTTTTTTTTTTTTAAATAACTTTATTCACAATAGGCACACACAGCCATAGAATACTCTGAATAATAATATTGAATGCGTTCTTTAACTGCATTTTTATACTGAATCCTTCACGATGGAGATGTGATTTTATACGATTCAGCCAAATAAAGAGGAAAGGCCAACAAATATATTGAAAAAAATCTTGACCTATAGTTTCTGATTTCTTTATTTGGTTTCTGTGTAGAAAACACTGCAAAGGAGTGTTTGAATTAAGATGTTTACCATGAACTTCCAACTCCAAAATCAGCCTCAATAAAGAGCCAATGACTGATTATGAGATGAGAAGCAGATAAACAATAACCCCTGCCATTTTCTTAAGAGATTCATGGTGTATAAACTCCCTGAAGACCTGGTGTAGTATTATGGTGATCCATCCTTTCAAACAGCACTGCAGTGAAACATTACAGGGCTGGAGACACAACGGATTGTGAATAACACACATTAACCGGTGGCTTGCACACGCTTCTCCTTCTTGTCCTGTTGTTTTATTCTGTAGTCTGACAGCGCTGCTTTAATGGCATCCTCTGCAAGCACTGAAAGAACAAAGGAGGGAAGAGTTTAAACAAACACTTTGAGCATGAAATAAGCGTTGATTGTTTACACAGCCTGGTAACAACTGAAAGGAAAACCCTGAAGAAGTGAGTTGAGAAATGTCAACGGTTGATTATTCGTACTCAGAAAATTCAATGAGATTTTGTTTAAGTAGCCATCAGTAATGTGGATGTAATGACTTATTGTTCATGCAATTAATCAAACAGCTTTAACAGTCTTGTAAAGTCAGACAATGACATCACTTCACTGTATTGCAGCATTTTAAAACCATGGAAAAACATGTATGCCATATTAAAGTATCCACAAGATGATATGTAGTTTCAGAATACTATAGAAATATAGCCCAGACCTATTCTAAATGCACAAAAACTGAGAAGAACCAAATGATGGAATATACTTTTGGTTTCAGTAACGAGAGTTCAGTTGTGTTATACTGTGAACATGACAGTGCTACTTTCAGTATGTCATTGTGTTGCTTTGAACTTACTGGAGCAGTGCAGCTTGACTGGTGGAAGGCAGAGTTCTTTGGCGATGTCTGTGTTCCTGATCTTCAGAGCTTCTTCCACCTACAGAATGAAAGCAGACTTAGATTAAAAAAAAGCAGGACTTGTAATGCCACTATTCTTCTTTCAATCCATGTTTTGCAAACTCACCGACTTCCCCTTCACCCACTCTGTCGCTAGAGAACTGGAGGCAATGGCTGATCCGCAGCCAAATGTCTTAAACTTTGCATCAACAATCATGCCATGGTCATCCACCTCGATCTAAAAACAACATAGAATACACCTAGTTGTACAAAAGTAATGACAGTCATGACAGCAGTAGCATTTGACCTCTAACTTACCTGAAGCTTCATTACATCACCACAGGCCGGTGCACCCACCAAACCAGTCCCCACATTTTTGGAGTTTTTGTCTAGAGTTCCTACATTTCTTGGGTTTTCATAATGGTCCACCACCTTGAGGAACGAGACACACGGAAAATTAGATGTAATTGTTTTAGAGTGTAGTAGAGATAGGACATATAGGTTTAAGTTAGCTACCCTACTGTATGTATTTATGTTTCACAGCTTAAAATATTTGACATACTAAGAAGACCTTCCTTTCTTATAGTTGCTGGGTGATTGTTGATGTAGTGGAGTAAAAAGTACAATATTATAAAAAATGTAGTGAAGTAAAAGTATTAAGTAGCATAAACAGAGACTACTCCGGGATGTACTTCAGAATTGTACACAAGTACTTTAATAAATGTACCTTGTTAGAATCAGAATCAGAAACAGGTTTAGTAGGTTTACACGTAGGAGGAATTTGACTTGGTGTCGTACATAAAAGTAAAACAAGAATTAAAAACACAGGTAGAGAACTAGAAAAATATAAGAAATAATAAAGAATATAGTAAAAAATATTGTAAAATATAACAGTATTTCCATTGCAATGGAATGGAATAAGAAGTAAATAAATATGGATCAAAAATCGGCAGTAATAACTGGTTATCCCCATTGAAATTGCAAGTTGAAAACAGCTATTGCCAATCTCTTACAATATTAGTTAAGTTATACAAAGAACCCAGGGTCTTAACGGTCTTAACTCGTGTGGACACAGGTTTGACCCCCTGTGAGATTCACACGACACATAACGTAGTTTACCTTCAGTAAAACGTGTGACATCAATAACACATGTGACATTACGAGTTTAAAACACATTTGAGTTACCTTTATGTGATATAAACACTGTGTCTTGAGCTCCGGGCTGAATAAACGTCTGCTAAATAACAACAGCGAGGACGCTGAGTTTCGCAGAGACACAATCGCCATGTTGAGATAACGATGATGATGAACAGAAACCAACGAGTGAGCACGAAAGAAGACGAGCACCCTTTGCTGACAAACAAGTGCGGAAGGGCTCATCTAGAAAGGAGCGCCCTCTAGAGGCGAACAGCAGCCACTACAGGGGACACATGGAACATAAGATAAGATATATAGTTTATTAGTCTCAATTTGGGAAATGTTTTTGTTGCAGCAGCATGTTGAACAAGTATTGCACATAATTAGAAATGAAAAAGAGTAGAAATTAAACAATTATACAATATAAACATCTCAAAATAGCATAAAAACAGAACTAAAAGAGTGAAAATATATAAAAGTTGACCGTGAAGAAAACATATCTAAACTATCTGATAAATAAAACTCTTATTGAAAGGCCGAATTACAGCTAACACAATTTAAATGTGGGATAATATTTACATTTAGTGTGCAAGAATGGCAAGATAAGATAAGATATATATATATATATTTTTTTTTTGTCAAAGCAGCTTGGATAAGACATTGGACATGAATTAGAGGTAAATAAAAGTAAATAAAAACAATGAAGATATATATAACAGCAGTAGAAGATAAGCAAAATACGCAAAACAGTGAATATATATCAATTATGAAGGATATCTATAGAGTATATATTACAAGTTAACAGTTAGTTCTATATTTAGGTAAATGTTTTATTCATATAAAGAGAGGACATTAATACATGTTATACCTAGAATTAAAACAATATAGTATAGCACTATTAATAGAAACTAATTGTTAATTTAAAGGGGACCTATCATGCAAAATGCACTTTTGTACGTCTTTTATACATGAATATGTGTCCCCGGTGTTCCAGGGAACTCACCAAGTGTCAGAAAACACAACCCTCTCTATTTTCCTCCATACCCAAATCTCTAAAAAAGGGGCTGCAACGGATCTGATAAAAACTGATCCAGATTTGAACACTGTCCTGACGTCAGGACGGTGGCGCTACGGCTATTGGGCCAACTCCACCAATCAGGAGGAGACAGCCACGGCATTGCCGTTCGAAAGCGCTGGAGACGTTGTAGTACATATGCCAGGCCTCTAGATGGTGCTGTTCTCACAGAATCAACCCTTGCTAAAACAGATCTAAAAAATGTCAAATTGAGCAAAATGAGGCATGGCTAAAATGCATGATCTGTTTGGTATTTTGAAAAAAAAAAAGTATAAATATGCCTTATATAGGTATGGTCCTACACTATATTATTCAAATATAGGTCCACTTTAAGAAATATTTAATCTGAAATATGAAACTGTACTTTCTTTTTATTTTGATAACTTTATATGACTACCCCTGATGTTCATTTATGTTCTTGAATAAAAACACCTTTTGTCACAACCACTTTACGAAAATGGGTTTCATCCATGGATGGCGAAGTCCTGCCCATCTACTTCCGACCCATGGGACCTTATTTCGGAAAAATTATGTATTGAAGTCAATGGAGAGAGAAAGATTATCTTTCGACCCCGTTTGAATTGTGCAACGAATTACACATATGATGTTTGTCAATCTTAAAAAATAATTTCCATGTCAAAAAAGTCACAGTTTGTCGTAAAACTGTTGAAATATAAGACTATGAAAAATACGCAACTAGAAAGACTACAAATCCCAGAATCCCGGTCCCGCATTCTGGCTCTTACGGAACCGACTAACTCCCCTTGTGTGTCTGTACAGCTCTCAACATGCCCATACTTGGAGTGATTTTCACCTCTTTTAATACTTTTCGCCTCATTCTGAGGAAAGAAGTGAAATGTGCCAACGTGACGGCCGTCTTGGTGTGTGGTGCGAGACGGGAGATGTAGTTAATTGAGCGGTTTCACAAAAAAAAAAGTGTTACTTCACATTTTGACGACACATTTTAATTTTTTTGACTTGCAAAATTATCTTTTAAATTGACAAACATCATATGTGTAATTTGTGGCACAATTCAAACGGGATCGAAAGATAATCTTTCTCTCTCCATTGACTTCAATACATACTTTTTTCGAAATAAGGTCCCATGGAGGTCCACCGGAAAGGGAGGGACTTCGCCTCTCCGGCTCACTCGGGCTCACTTCCTGGGGTTTTGGTTCATGCTCCAACTCTCGCGATACTTCTCTGTTTCCAGGCAGAAAGTACTTTCCAACATGGCAGCGTCGAGCAGCGCAGAGCAAACGCAGTTGCACGATATGGAGGAGGAAGAAGAAGGGATGGAGGAGAGAGAGATGGAATCAGACGAGGAAAACCGCATGCGAGGAGAAAATTCAGACGAGGAAGAGGACGATTCTTCGGATGACGAGAAAGAAAATGAAGCCGAGATCCAACGCTTGGAGGAGCAGGTAATTAACAACAAGATGCGTTCAGGGACAGAGGAGCTAATGAGAATGAATGGTAAACACAGTCAACTCACAAGCAGATTTAAAACTATGACCTGCCCTGTCCTGCTTTGGCTTAATAGAAAGTAAACTCTGTCTGTTATCCAAAACAATTCAATGTTATTTATGATACGTCGTCATTCAAATAGCTGTCGTGATTAGTTAGCTTACCTGCTAATCTGTGATGCTAATGGTCACGTGTTATACGCGCCTTTTTTAACGTCTTATTTCAGTGGGGCTTTACAGTTTTCAGGAAGTACACCACACGTGCACAAACAAAGTACACATAAACTTTAACTTTACTGGGAGAGACGGGCAGAGAAATAATCTGATGTACCGATAGCGACTTTTTACAGAATTCATAATTGTGTATGTTGCAAGGATACAGTGAACTTTGTAGGTCCTGTTCTTCCACTTTATCAGCAGAGAGCAGGTTTATAAAGTTACTGCAGCAGTATGCATGTTAATTATGTACATACAGCTTACATTTGTTTTACTGCGTTAATGTAATTCTACAGATCCCCATCCATTAGGTTTTTACAATTGTTGGGAAAATACTGAATGTTCTCTTCTAATATCAGAGTAGCACATGATAACAAAGGCCCTACGTAGCTGTGTACGTAACCGGATGTATGATTACCCAGAAGAGCATCAGGACTGTTTTAGATATATGATAGCTATGTTACAACGATTAACATGCTGATTCAGCCTCTATGGAGACAAACACATGACAAGCATGATTATTTCTGACGTGGGTTTTAGCTAATCCAAACTAAACATTGTATACGGCTTTGAACCGGTATTCCTCCATCTTGTGACTGTGTAACTCCCTCTCTTGTATATCAGCATGTAAAGGACACTGTTCAGGAACTAGTTGTCCCATGTAGCTCTGTATGTGATGACTCCTCCATTCTTAAAAAATAAATACATGTATCCTGATATTGAAGCTCAAGCTGGTGACGAGTGATATTTTCCTAACAATAATATATATTGTTTTTGTAATAATTGAATTTAGGAGTCAACTTCATGTTCATTTTGGGGCTGAATTTAATAGTGCTATACTGCACCTGATAGTGTCCGGCATACTGGCAAATACAGCCTTTATGATAATGACATTTGAATTCTAAAATCATGTTAGAATTTATTATATGCATTAGTGTTAGCTAGTTATAAATAATAGACTAGCAAAATCAGTATGGTAAAGTATACATTTTCTGTGTGAAATATTTGAGATTGCTAACTTAAATGCCATTATTTAATCCATAATTCATTTATGAATGTTCTCTGGCTGTGGTGCTATATCACAAAGAAGCACAAGTTAATTATGATATGTTTAATTATTCAAGGTCTTAACTTATTTCTTCTTTGTTTGATTCTTCAGTTGTCTATCAACGCTTTCGACTACAACTGCCACGTGGATCTCATCAAGCTACTGAAGCAGGAGGGGGAACTTCTCCGTCTGCGAAAAGCAAGGCAGAAGATGAGTGAGCTCTTCCCACTCACTGAAGGTTGGTGCATGTTGTCTCAAGAAGTATTCATTGTCAGCAGCTCGAATCATTATTTGCAACTGAAACCACATTTCCTTAAAACCTGCAGAGATTTGGCTGGAGTGGCTCAAGGATGAGATCCGTCTGACTGAGGAAGAGCCAAACCGGGAGAAAGTATATGAACTTTTTGAGAAAGCCGTGGCAGACTATATCTGTGAGTGACCCCCACCATTGGTAACAGCCTTTGATTTGACAGTCAGTTATTTCATGATCTTATGTTTGATTCCATGTATTTATTATACCCTAGGTCCAGATATCTGGCTCGAATTTGCTCAGTATTCAATTGGTGGCATGGGCCTGCCAGGTGGGATGGAGAAGGTGAGATCCATCTTTGAGAGAGCTGTGATGGCGGTGGGGCTTCACATGACGAAGGGACAGGCGGTGTGGGAGGCGTACCGAGAGTTTGAGAACGTCATCCTGTCCACAGTACAGGTTTGTGTTTCCACCACTAAGATGGTCTTATTCTATGTCCTTGATTTTGTTGCTTTTTGAACACATACACATGCTAGAGTTTTATTTTCAATCATGTACATTTTTTTTTTTTACACTGGACTGTTGGTAAATATGGGTTGCTGTTGAAATATACTTTAATAACTTATATTCATGGGCACATTGTTACAGTCTGTATCAAGCATCATACTCGTTAAGCCTTGCTCAAGATGCTCAACACATTTGTGTTATGCAGATTGATGGGAAAGGTCTTTTAACAACAGCACTCTCATTTTAGTGTAGTGTCCGTCAGATTTGATTTAACGCACTGTATTTCATTATCAATCCGTATCGGTCAGTTTATTATTGTGTTGAAGCATACTGTTGAATTATAATCCTTCACTTAACTCATTTAATTGATACAGGTTAGACGAAATGACTTCCTAAATTGTGACACCATCTTCTCTGCCTTTTTTCCTCCAGCCTCCCCCTGGCAGGGTTCCCAGCTGCGAGGAGCAAGGGAGTCTGAATGTTCAGCTCGAGCGAATCCACACACTGTTTCGCCGCCAGCTGGCCGTCCCTTTAATGGGTAAGCATGAAGCCTGATTTGTCCAAAAAGCTGGATTTCTGTTGTAAGGGTTGTCAAAAAGCTGAGTGAGTGGAAATGACCAAATTCCGTTGCATGATGATTTATGGCTGGCACGGTCGTGATGTGTCTTTTTGAAATGCTGTACGCATTATGAAAAAACATGCTTAGTTGAGTTTCAGGAGTGGGCAAAGATACCAGATGGTCTAGTATTGTTTTTTATTTACTGTACCAGCCAAATAGACATCAGATGCATTTCCTGTAATATGTTAAACCCTTTCTTGTCTGAACATCTCACATGTCTCACTGCGGTTATGTGGTCTTATATAAGCAATTGTAAATTGACACGTTCCCGCTGCACACTAAAAGTTACTCGTCTCAATGTCACCCTTTTACAATTGGCTAATTCTGTATGTAGTGTATGTATCATTGTTGTTAATGTTAAAAAGTGTCTATAAATGTTGGCAAACATTGTGCTGTGTTGCTTTGCAGACATGGAAGCCACCTTTGCCGAGTACGAGGAGTGGTCTGAACAGGAGGTGGCTGAGACGGTCATGATTCAGTACAGAAAGGCTTTGCAGCAGTTGGCCAAGTGCAAACCTTTGGAAGAAGCACTGGTAACTGACTTGAATTGAATATTTTGACCCTTACAGTTCTCCTCATTTTTAAGTGTTTGAATATTGTGATGCAATGCCCTAACGTCTGTTGTCTTTTCCCAGATATTAGCAGAACCTCCTAAGATGGCGGAGTATCAGGCCTTCCTCGACTTTGAACTAAAGGAGGGCGACCCGGCACGGATCCAGATCATCTATGAGCGGGCCCTGGCTGAGAACTGCCTGGTACCGGACATGTGGACCAAATACACAACCTATCTGGTGAGTATTGGTTCCCAGTCCGACTGTATTGCTTACTGTGTAGAGTTTGGACTTGTTCATATAGCATTACCTCCCAGGCCTACTCTTACAGCTCCTCTTGGACTAGATTCATGGGTCATTTTTGTTATGTCTTTTCTCCTTTAAACACTATAATTGGACAAAACCCAGCGAAACATCAGGTTAATAATCATTTGAATCATCTTTCTTAACCTCTTGAGCCCGATTGCACCCGGTACCGGGGGCAGACGCAGCATCTTGTAAGATACACCATCCCAGGGCTTGTTAACATTTAACAGCCTATTCATGTGGCATACCCACTTAATGGGAAGAAACTCAGCTAACGGCCGATAATAACACGAAAATGTAATTCCAACACCAAGCGTCTAAATCAGCATTTAACGAAAACGTGCCAACGGTGCATGCGCACATAAGTGATAGCGATTTTTCTACTTCTTGCTATCTGCACAAACGACATGTCATATGAAAGCTGAGATTCCACAGAGTCCATGGGTATAAGTCTCATCACTGTAAAACTCACTGAACTAGCAGCCAGGAAAGAGCAACAAACTGTCTAACCATAATGTGTCTTACCTTTGCTGTTTTGTGATCAAACGTTGTGTTCAAGGGCATAAAAAACGCTGCTGAAGGTTAATCCAATGTCTCTGCGTCACTTTGAAATGATCACTGATAATCCATCATTATTTACATGGTAATAAGCGGGGTATAATGTTGAGCAGGCTGGGGCGTCTGCTTTGGAGCATGCTGTGTTTGTGCATTTTAACTGACACATGGTAATGTTTACGTGGATTTATGAACTGCCCCTCGATTCTATTGGCTCTAACGGTTACAAAGAGGTGTCAATCACCGAATTTGACCAATGGGTTCCAGAGATAGGTCCCCGCTTAAAGTATAAGGTCTGACTACAGCTCGCTCCTCATAACGCAGCGGAACGCACAGCAGATTACAAGAACAGTGATTTCTTTGCATTTAGGAATTAAGGAAAAAGGGTTATACCGCGGAGAAGGTACTGACCATTCTGGCTGCTGATAGCGGGGAAGGTGTTTTACCTGTTGACTCTGCGTCGGATGATGAGGACCAACTGCAGCAACAGATGGACCCGGACAGTAGTGACTCAGATTATGAATTTTCATCAACGGAAAGGTATGTAATCTCTTTTTTATCGATTACTTATTTATTTGGTGTAATATTATTCATCTATCCTCCTTATTATTCTGCAATGAATTTAAAATTCACACACTCAACCTGGATGGTGTTACAGGGCTTATTTACCTCAACATCCATATACTGCCTGTTTGGAGTTACATTTTCAAAAGTATAAGCCAGTGAATTAATCTATTTGGTTTCTTTCCAAACATTTTTTCACAGTGATGAAGATTATGTGCCTAAAATGGCTGCTTCCAGTAAGATACGGCCATCAACACGTACCCCTCAGCCCCTGCTAAGCCGCTCCACTCGACGGGCTTCTGCTCCCCCTCCTCAGCCATCATCTTCCTCATCTGTTTCCAAATCACCCAAAGAGACACAGAACAAAAGAAAAAGCAAAGCATCATGTAAATCAGCAAAACCCAGGAAGTGTGGCCGAGGTGAGTCTTCCTCTCCTGGAATGACAGAGGAAGAACTCGGGTGGCACTACAGAGAGGAGAAAGACCAAAGACCAGAGCGACTGAAGTTCATGCCAGCCAGGGTCCCAGGCCCAACATTTGACACCACCGCATCGTGGTCTCCCCTTTCCCTTTTCAGACTTTTTTTTAGTACTTCCGTGGTTCGTACGCTCATTCGCAACACGAATGCAAACGCCCTGAAGAGATTCCAGGCTGGAAATAAGTATGTTTGGGAAGTGCTGACTGTGAGGGATTTTTATATTTTCCTGACCATTGTCATTTTCACAGGCCTCGTCCACGTTCCCCACAGATCAGACTACTGGTCGAAGAAAAGTCCATATGACTTCCCATTCCCAGCTGACAAAATGTCACGGGAACGCTTTGAAGCCATCTTGTGGTCGCTGCACATGAGCAACCCCGAAGAAGACGAGAAAAACGAGCGCAAAAGGAACACCGAAGAGTACGACAGACTTTTCAAGATCAAGCCCCTGTACACTGACATAGTCACTGCATGCAAAACACATTTCCAGCCCTATCAAAACATTTCTATAGATGAGAGGATGGTGGCATCCAAGGCCCGCGTCAGTACGAAACACTACAAGCCCAGAAGGTGGGGGTACAAACTGTGTGTGCTGTTGGATTCCTCAACGGCATACACCTGGAATTTCTTGGTGCAAACGAGGAAGAGTATGCTCACCACAGGCCAGGGACTCGGCTACTCCTCCGTGATGGACCTCATGCCATTGCCTCTGCTCGGTGGGGGCTACACACTCTTTGTGGAAAACTTTTACACCAGCCCTGCCCTCTTTGAGGATTTGTCCACACACAACATTGGCTGTTGTGGGACCATTAGAACAAATCAAATTGGTTTTCCACAGACTGAGTTGAATGACCTACCGAAAAAAGCTGAAAGGGGAGATTTGCGGTGGATAAGGAAAGGCAAACTCCTGTTCGTGAAATGGATGGACAGATGTGAAGTGTCCATGTGCTCCACAGTGCATGAAGCCTTCAGTGGACAGACTGTCAGACGGAAAGTGAAAGAGGCTGGTGTGTCGCAGTCTAAGACTGTTCCCATTCCTGACGCTGTAGTGGACCACAATCAAAACATGGGCGTCAGGGATGTGTCCGACGCTTTGATTGCGCACTACAACGTTCACAACAAAAAAATGAAATGGTACAAGGCTTTCCTTTTTCGTTTTATGGACATTTCAGTGATGAACAGCTTCCTTCTCCACAAGGAGCTGTACAAGATGAGGAATTACCCCAGCAGCGTGAAGCCACACACCCAGAAGTCTTTCAGGGAGCAGCTTGCTGAAGAAATGTTGGAGTTTGCTGAAGGCTCTGCAGCACCACCATGCCCCCCACCACTCGCATGCATGCCCATGTATTCTGGGGACGATGGGACCCAATCAAGGGGGTACTGCAGGAGGTGCCATGATTCTGGCATCTTAAGGGTGAAGACACCTGTGTTATGCGTTAAGTGCAAGGTCCCTCTGTGCTTGACTTCAAAAAGAAACTGTTACCAGGAGTGGCACGACCAACTTTTCTGAGTTTTTCCAGTGTGTTGATTTTTACAAAACATTTTTTTTTTGTTTTTGCCATTTTATTTTAGAATGTGTTTTTTTTTTTTGTATATTGTGTATAAATACATCTGCTCCAGTTTGAGTCAAACTTCATTTCCTGTGTATGTTTTTTTTGTTGAATGGGGAGAAGTTATAGAGGTCTGGGTGCATTTTCAAAAAAAGTCAAAAACAGTTTGGATAGAATGAATACCTATAGCTGTTGTATTTGCTGTAAAGTGTCCCTACTGTAAGGTAATTATATGTACAGCACTTTGGCTCGACCAAAAATCGTTTTAAAAATGTGCTATATAAATAAAACTTGATTTGATATAGTGATATATTAATACAATTTAGTTTTACAATCTGGTACCTGAGAAAGGTCAAATGGCACTGTTTGGTGAGTCTGCCTGGACCTACCTGTGCTAAACCTCTCTAAAAAATGTAAAGTTTCACTTAATAAGCATCTATCCTGAGTCTGACGCAGGGTACTTATGTTATGGTTTAGATCCCTAAAGTATCTGGGCTACTCTTCCATTATTCAAGAGTGGTTTTCCCCATAAATAATGTGGTTTTCTTAGGCGGAGATTTTTTTTTTTTTTACTAGGTTCAGTCTGAACATCTGTATTGATTCTGACACTTCTACAGCCAACTCATAGGTGTATCAATAGGCGCTTTCACACCGCAGTACTTTTCCCACAAAGGTTCATCAGAACTTAGTTCATGAGAACTCTTTAGTTCTCATGAACTAAGTACAGATTGCGTTCACACTGGAATAAGTCCCTGGGGAGTCCCAGCAGCTTCTACTGAAGCCTTCCGAGTAAATCGCCTCATCTCCACCGCTCCCATGTTTTATTTTGTGTTGCCATAAGTTAGTCTCTGCGTTTCTGCGCTGGGTTAATGCTAATGCTAATGCGAGGATAATAAAATGGCGGCTTCACAACACTTTTTGGGAGTTTTACGGGGCGTGGTTTGCATTCCGCCCAGCCAATCAGACATAGGAACCTTTTTCTCCCACGAAAGTACCTGCTCTCTAGCAGAAAAGGGGGTAAAAAGGTTCCGGCTCTTTTTAGTGTGCACGCGACATTTCGGATCTATATCGGAACTAAAGTGGGAAAAGTACTGCGGTGTGAACGCGCCCTAGCAGGGACGGAAAAGGGGGTAAAAAGGTTCTCATGAACTCATTTTAGTTCCGGATTTTTTTGGTGTGAACGCAACATTTCGGAACTAAAGTGGGAAAAGTACTGCGGTGTGAACGATATGTTATGGTTTGGATCCCTAAAGTATCTGGGCTACTCTTCCATTATTCAAGGGTGGTTTTCCCCATAAATAATGTGGTTTTCTTAGGCGGAGATTTTTTCTTTTTCATAGGTTCAGTCTGAATTTACTCTGAAACAGCAACATCTATATTGATTCTGACACTTCTACAGCCAACTCACAGGTGTATCATTGCTTTGATAACAAGATTATTCATACACCCCTTTTAGTTGTGAAGATATACTCATTCATTCTGGGCAGAAATGTAGTTACGAATAAAGTCAACTCCTTTAAATCTTTAAAATAAAATCTTTAGCTTATTTTAACCATTTTGTTATTTGTTCCCTCAGGACCGTCAGCTGAAGTTTAAAGACCTGGTTCTCTCCTCACATGAGCGAGCGGTGAGGAACTGCCCGTGGACGATGGGTCTGTGGAAGAGCTACCTCCTGGCTCTGGAGCGGTATGACGCTGACCACGCCACCGTCTCAGGTAAACACTTTCTGCATCGCTGTTTTCATGCTGCTGTGTTTCATATGTGACCAAAATCCCAGACCTTTGTTCCTGTAACGCTGAACCGGCTGCCCATGTCTTTATCTTCCCCACAGATGTTTTTGAAAAGGCGCTGATTGCAGGTTTTATTCAAGCGACGGACTATGTGGAAATTTGGCAGGCATTCCTCGACTACCTGAGGAGACGTGTTGATTTCAGCAAAGGTGAGAGCGGTACTGAATGTGTCTTTGTGCTTGGAAACTATTCCGTTTCCTCCTTGTTTCCTTGCTAACGGTGTTACTTGTGATTTTGCAGAATCAAGTAAAGAGTTGGAGGAGCTGCGAGGATCTTTCGCCCGGTCTCTGGAATACATGAAACAAGATGTTGAAGAAAGTAGGTGGATTTCTGCCGGACTGAGGTTTTACTTCTGGTATTATAGTTTTGGCTTTCAAATAATTCATTGTCTTGTTTCCCTGTAGGATTTGGTGAAAGTGGAGATGCTTCTTGTATCATAATGCAGATCTGGGCAAGGATAGAGGTAAGAAGTGTTACTATGACAACCATTTACTATAGTTGCAATAGGGCTGTGCGATTATGGCAAAAATCATAATCACGATTATTTGGGTCAATAATTGATATAACGATTATTAAATACGATTATTCATTGACTTTGAAAAAATCCATTTATTGAACTTTAAAACAAATACAAATAATAATTTGAACAGTATATTTTTAACTGTTGATTACCCTGAACGTATAATTCAACTGAAAAACCAATACTAAAATAAATTATACATTTAAATAAATAATATCAAAATAATAAATACCAATAAACAAGATCAACAAATATTTTGGAGCGCACTTCCACAAGCTACTAAACATATATAAATATGATAAATACAAATAAATGAGACCAAAATAAATTAGATCAAAATATGTAGCAGTGCACGGTCACAACCTAGCAAAGCAAAATAATTGTTTTTTTCGATTATGTTGTTTACGTAATTGTGGCAGGCCAAAATCGTAATTGCGATTAAAATACGATTGCACAGCCCTAAGTTGCAATGAGCCTGTCTAATTTTTAAACCCGGTAATAGCTCAAGTGTCTTCAGCTACTCTGTGATGTACTTAATTTACCATAAAATCTGATCTTAAACAGCAACTTACTTTTTAAAAACGCCACAGTATTAGTCACACAAGGTCATATTTATGTGTATTTTGAATGATATTACCTCACTGTCACATGTGTAATATGGAAACTATCTGCACAAATGAACACCTCTTAATGTTTTCTTCTCCTCACCAGGCCCTCCACTGCAAAAACATCCAAAAAGCCAGAGAGCTGTGGGACAGCATCTTGACAAAAGGGAACGCAAAATATGCCAACATGTGGCTGGAGTACTATAACCTTGAAAGGTATGTGAAACAAGTCAAACATGACAAAAAGGAAGTGCTGATGCGTTTTGAGCCACAACTTGTATTTGGTGTCCCTGATTTTATTTTGATTAATTTCTTCACTTCTTTATCCTTAGGTCTTATGGAGACAACGCTCACTGTCGGAAGGCTCTCCACAGAGCAGTTCAATGCACCTCGGATTACCCTGAGCACGTCTGTGAAGTCCTGCTCACATTCGAGAGGGTGGAAGGTGAGTCCAGATATAACAATCCAACACAACATTAAAATAAAGACGTTTCTCATAGATTACAGCATGTCTGTATTTTGCGACCTCATCTCCAGGTTCTCTGGAGGACTGGGACGTGGCGGTGCTGAAGACCGAGACCCGGCTGAACAGAGTCAATGAGCAACGAGCGAAGGTAAGAGCACCTATCAGCACTGCCCATACCAGGTGAAATGTTGAGCTGCCTTTAGCTAATGTAACCTTGTTCTGCACACCTGTTAGGCTGCTGTGAAAGAAGCTAACCACGCCCGCCAAGAGGAGGACCGAGGGGATCAGCGGCAGAAGAACAAGGCAGACAAGAAGGGTCAGAAGAAGGGTCAGAAGGGACCAGGAGCTGTGTTGAAGAGGAAAGCAACGCAGGATGATCACCATAACGATTGGAACAATGACTCTGGTAAATAAAATGGTCTTAAAAACATTGTATTTTATAGTAAACTATGCTTAAAAATAATCATAGTGACTTGAAATTTGTGAAATATTTATGTATTTTGTGCAAGCGAGAGAGAAATCCTGCTAGTTCGCATTTAATAGAAATTCAGTGTAATTACCCTGATCTTTTTCGAGCTATCCCGTGTTCTGTGAGGGAATTGGGATGGGAACATCTTTGAAAAAAACACTTCAATTTGATGTTTAGGAATATAAAGGAACTCTGAACTCTAGGTTTATTATTAATTGTTCTTTCTCTTTGTGACGGAACTAGCTCCTAAAAGACGTAGAGGAACTAAGGACGGTGCCACAGAGGAGAACATGGAGACTGAGACGGGGAGGAACCCCCCACCCGGCTATAAGCCCGGCAACAAAAGAGCCCAGCAGGGGTCCGCCGCCCAGAGTCAGAACGATGAGAAGCCAGAGCTGCGTAACGATGATTGCAGTGTCTTCATCAGCAACCTGGCGTACACCCTGGAGGAGCCAGAAGCTAAGCTCCGGGCGCAGTTTGAGAGCTGCGGTCCCATCGCACAGGTTCGCCCCATCTTCGCGACCAAAGGCACCTTCAAAGGCTACGGCTATGTGCAGTTTGAATCCACAGTGGCTGTCGCTGAAGCCCTGAAGCTGGACCGACGGGAAGTGGAGGGCAGGCCCATGTTTGTGTCTCCCTGTGTGGACAAAAAAGAGAATCCCGACTTTAAGGTAAATATGAACATGTTTCAAAATATAGACATGTCTGTTTTTCTCTGCAGGTCTTGAAAGTCTAAACTTTTGAAGAAAAATATATATCTTAAATGTATTTCTGTGGTATCAAAATAAATGTTTTCTTAAAGTGTTTTTGTCAGTAAACCCTGTAGAAACCCTTATAATGAGCCGTACAAGTAACCACAATAATGTCCCCGTAGATCTTTAAATACAACACGACCATGGAGAGGCAAAAACTCTTCATCTCCGGGTTGCCGTTCTCGTGCACTAAAGAGCAACTGGAGGAAATCTGCAAAAGTCACGGCACCGTCAAAGACCTTCGCCTGGTCACGTATCGCTCTGGAAAACCCAAGGTGAGACATAAAGGGGAGAACAGTGTCCTGACGTTTAATAATAGTCCTCCTGGTTTAGATAATGATTAGCGCCTCTGACCACACGATGCTGAACAGAGTCATGGAGCAGCTGCTATCAGTGTATTAACTGTCTCTCGCTGTGTGTCTCTGCAGGGTCTGGCGTATGTTGAGTTTGCCGACGACACCCAGGCGTCTCAGGCAGTTCTGAAAATGGACGGCATGGAAATAGGAGAAAACAAAATCTGTGTTGCTATAAGTAACCCCCCGCGGAGAAATATGATGGATAAACCTGGTTTCGAAAGAACGGACTTAATGCCTCGGCAGGTCTTTGGAGGGTAAGTTAACGGATATTTTCTGAAAGTCTTGCCTCTATATTATCCGTACCTGTACTAACACAAGGTTGTTTATGTTTTCAAAGGAGAGGCAGAGGGCGCACGCAGCTGTCGTTAATCCCTCGATCCCTGCACCGGCAGAGTGAGCCTGTGAGCAAAGTAAAGAACGGAACCGTGGAGGCGGCGGGAGAAGGCAGCGCAGCCGGAGAGACGAAACCTTTGTCAAACTCAGACTTTGCCAGGATGCTTCTCAGCAAGTGAGAGGAGGAGGAGGAGAGAAATATGACTGCCTTCGGACCGAAAGCCATCTTGTGTCCTTACAAATACGTCTCGGAGAGTTTTCTGTATTTGGTTAGCTGGCTTCCCTTTAACCTCAGTCCTGTCAGGTGGCCAACGTCCTGCCCTCCATCGGAAAGACTCTTCACCAGTGTGACAGATTGTTTTCATTTGTGCTTGTTTGAAGGTAGATGGCTGGGTATTTTATAAAAAGAAAGTGTATAATTGTGTGTAAATATATTGTATCTAAAATGGTACGCCTCGTGTTGCAAAGTGTCTTCTTTTGTTGTGAATTGTGAAACAGAACTAAGAGAAGCAAACAGCGGAGTATCTTTTTTAAATAGTCATAGCAGATAAACTAGTTAATGTTGTTTTAAAAAAGTGAGATGCAAAAGTTCAGCTGTGGCGTGTGTTTGTGTGTGTGTACAGAAGATGGATGTACTACAATAATGAAAAGATATTCTCCAGATTTTTCAGGAAACTTATTTTTCTCTGAAGACAAAGTTAACAAGGCTAGCAATGACTTTTTATGACTATATAGTACAGCTTATTTTCATAATACCATCTGTGAGTTACCATCTGCTATTAACCATCAGTATTATGATGCTATAGAGTTTACAGAGGGTCATTAAAATACTAGTTATTTGGCTTTGTATCAGCCTGAGGGCATATTAGAATAAACTTCCCTGTCTTCACGTCAAACTATTGACTGGACTGCTCTAAGTACACGTTCTCTGCTTTTATACATCACTGTTAATATCACCTGTCTGTTCAAGGTGAAAACATCCATCATCACATCACCTATATTGTTTTAGAAACTACCCATAATACCCTCACCTTGCGACACTCGCATGTGAGCGATAGATAAGAAACATTTCTACGTGGCTCTTTCGATGGCTGCAGTCTTTATTTGCAAAGATAAGTGCATCTACATATATTGTATTTTAAAAATTGATTGTTCAAGTCAAATGTAGATTTGTAGTTTATTTTCAGTATCTCAGCTGTTCAAATTGTTATTTTTCTTACATTTAGGTAAATAAACTGTATCTTGACGTTAGACGATTGATAGGAATACGTATGTCTTCATCTTAGGCTCTAGATAACTGATGGCCATTTTTCGTAGTTTTTTTCAAGCAGACAAAATAATTAATCGACTATTTAATAACATGTTACCTGAAATGGTTTATAAATTAAGAAACATTAATTCATTTTGGGTGTTAGGAGATGACCATACATGCTAGAAAGTATATGTGGAACTAAAACCTAAGTACAGTTTTATTAATGTGACCTGGTTTACTTTGTAATCATTGAAGTCTTCTACACAGTTTAGGTCTGCTGCTCCTTCAAAATGAAAGGAGAATCTATGCAGTTTTTCCTTTTCTGTGTTCTGAGGTTATGAGCCGACCATTACTCAAGTTTGTTTTCATAATGTTCTGTATGATCATTTAAAAAAAAAAAGGTAACCAGTTTGTTTATATAGTATAAGTATACATTTTCAAAACAAATGGAATACAAGCTATATGTATTGCTCTCACCACAGTGGCCTAATCTAAGAAATAGAAATGTGTCTCGTCACCTATTTTCTGTCTAATACTAAAAGGTTCATCAGTGTTGTTTTGTATAATTTATATAGTAAATGTTTTGAATTTGCTATAAAGGTCAAGAATAGATGGTGTTTTTGTGTTCAAAGTATTTATTTACCCCTTGTGTTTTTGGGTCCTGTTTAAAAAAGAAAAATAGTCATGTTTTAAAACTGGTTTTAATAAAATCATGTCAATCCTCTTTGATCGCAGTGACAGCCACAGCTTTGTTCAGTCTAAAACAATTCATAACCTAGAGACATAATACAAGTGAATAGAACACGTTTATTTTAAATAAATAATCAGAAACACAAATGCTTACAGTGTTATGACACTTCATATTTTCTATCCGAGAGATAGATCATTAACAAATGTTCACACTCACTCTACACATTTGCTCTTAAAGCATACCAAGTCAAATGTCATAAGAAAACGTTTCTTTCATCGTCACATCACCTCTGGTCAAATGTAGATTGTATTTTATAGATCTCTGAAATGCATTAACACTAAGGGAATATAGGTTACTAACAAAAAGTGGGGAAAAGGTTTATTTTCAATGACAAAACAAACCGTAACAGCAAATTTTCAATTCAACACCCTGTGAATGAATTCATATCTTAAAACCTAAACTGGATTATAGAGGATAAGGTAGAATATGGCCATAAAGCAATTGAACACATGGTAGGGTTGGAATTAAAGTGCTTTTAGATTCCCCTTCCCTGTGTATCTAGTTGTGAATGGGAATGGTCTGTTGGCAGTCGGGACAGGCCTGGTCCTCGCTGGCTCCCGGCAGCCCCACAGCATGCTCCGTTGTAGAAATCAACAATGTGTCCAATGTCATCTCTGTACATTTGGCTATAAAGCGAATGAAGGGTCGTACATCTCCCTCATTAGCCGTGTCTAGAGCTGCATAATACTCCGCCCTTTGTTCTTTGCGGATAGTGACTGGTGGGTATCGCGCTTGCATGAGCACGAGGTTCATGAGCAGTCGTGATGTGCGTCCGTTGCCGTCGACAAATGGGTGCACATAGACCAGTTTGTAGTGGGCGAGAGCTGCGTACTCCACAGGGTGCATCTGCAGGGCGTCCTCGGAGTTGAGCCACTGAACCAGCTCCTGCATGTGTCTCTCCAGGTCCCGAGGGTGGGGGGGGATGTGATGGCCCACAAATACCTGGTTGGTGCGCAGCCTCCCTCCCTCCACAGGGTCCACGTAGCCCAGCACCCGGCGGTGGATCCCCAGGATGTCACTGACGTCCATGGTGCCTGCTCTGGACAGCAGCGAGGTGTTGATGTACTTCATGGCTGCGTCCACACCGATGGCCTCGTTCTGCTCCTGCAAGCTCTTCCCAGCGACGGCGTAACGCGTCTCGAGGATGTGACGGATCTCAGACAGAGTGAGCGTGCTGCCTTCAATGGCCACCGTGTGGTAAATGTGGTGGTAGTAGGTCTCCTCCATCACCCTGCGGAGGGCAGAGTTGCCTTTAGGAATGGACATAAGCCGGCGCACTTTACTGTCAATGATGCCAAAGTACCGCTGGTCAATCTCTTCGACCAGGGGAGAAGTCCGGTCCCGGCTCACTAAAGCTCTCTCATTACACGGGGAGATGGCCAAGGCCTTGGTGTAGAGATGGTCTGCCTGGACCACATCCTTCTCCTCTTCCAGGATGGTCCCCAGCTCCGTCAGGGCATCCACAAAGTCTGGATTCATGCCGAGTGCATGCACCAGCAGTTTATGAGCCTTCTCACGCTTCCCAAGTTTTCTCATCTCCACAGCCAGCTGCAGTGCCGCCTTGGCCTCAAGCTTCATTTCTGCAAACACAACATTATAGACGGTCAACTCCAGCAAATGTGAAACAGTTGGAGATAATAATACTCTATACATCAGAGGTGGAAGGAGTACTAAGATCTTGTACTTAAAAGTATAAGTAACAGAAAGTAGGAATACTCCCGTTTTAAAAATGTTACTCAAGTAATAGTACAAAAGTATTAGCACCAAAGTAAACTCACCAAGTACCAAAAGTAAAAGTACTCATTATGCAGATTGGCTCCTTTCAGAATCATATATATTATATGTGTAGGTTATAATTATTGATATATGTATCAAGCTGGTAAAGGTGGAGCTAATTTCAAATAATTGGGAATTGAATACAGGTGTATCTATAGTCTTTTTTAAGCGTTGATCCTATTGTTTATCATTAATCTATATCTGCAAAGTAACTAAAAGGTACTACATAAATGTATTGGAGTAAAAGTAAAATATTTACCTCTGAATTGTAGAGGAGTAGAAGTACAAAGTATCATAAAATGGAAATACTCAAGTAAAGTACAAGTACCTCAACGTTTTACTTACAAAAGTACAGTACTTAAGTAAATGTACGTAGTTACTTTACACCACAGCTATACATGTAGTTAATACATACACCTGTTCTTGTTCGTACCATTGCTCGGCTTGGACCTGAGTGGCAGCACGTCCAGGGCCGTGAAGGGGACCGTGAGGCTGGTGGTCTGCACCGCTGCAGGCCGCTGAGAGCCGCCTCCCAGCCGGCAGCGGAGCAGTGAGAGGCCCCTCAGGGCGGCGCAGCACTGATCCTCCTCCCGCACCAGGGGCATCAGGACCACCACCAGAGACCCGAAGAGCACACACAGCAGCGGGCACCATCCTCCAAGGAGCCGCCCACCGGTGTAACGACACACCGTCATAGCAGCCATGATGGTCCCCGGTTAAACCTTCCATCCTCCAGTGATACGGGTCCCCATGAAGATCAACCCCGGCTAGGAGAGCAGAAAGCCGACAGACAGGAGGTAAAAACGGTCCCCATGACAGCTGGAAACTACCGACACTACAGAGGATATACCAAACTGTTACCAAACTTTTAAAGCTTGAAAGTAAGGTATCGTTAGTTAAGTTAGCTCTCTGTCGCTACTATTTAACTCGAAGCTGAAACTAAAAACAACGACTTTATTCACGAATAAACGGCCATTAACTTATTCCCAGCGTCAGTACAGTTGTGTTCACAAAATACCAATAATACACATCATCGACTTCCTGGTTCGCTCCGAACATGTTAACATCCCGCAATATCATTGGCCAGAAGTTTATTGAAGGACGGTGCTGATTGGCTGAAAACGCAGCAATACACCAAACGGTTCGTAACAGATTCTGATTGGTTACATTTGTTTCCGGCCACGCAGTGTGCAAGAGCAGCAAATTAAAAGCATGCAAAACATTCCTCCTTTTGAAAAGGTAAAACAGGAATAGTCAAGATAGATATTTATTGTGTTTCACGTTTGCAATTCAATTATGAAACTTCTATTTAAATGGTTTTTATGTTAATTCATTCGCTTACCGTATTTATTTCTGTTTGTATGCAATTATTAATTAGTAATATATACACCTAACGAGTTGACTTATTGAACATTCAGATTTATTTTTTGAAGTGTGTTTTTTCCCTCAATAGTTTCCTTGTCATTTGACCAAGCCACTCACTAAAACATTTGTTTTCTATTTTCTATCAATATTTTTTTTTTATTCAATATGTAAGGTTATTTTGATGGAAACTTCTGAAGCAACGGAGACAGGACTCAGAGAGACGCGAGTTGAGCAGGAACACTGATGGTTTATTTGGAGCTTCGGCCGGAGAATTCACAAGACATCCGCTGTGCCACGATTTGCCATACACATTCTGAAGATCTCTACCCCAGACCCATGTATTTAGCTGGTTCTGCGAGAATAATCAACATTGTTCATAACAAGATAAAACCATAACACTTCTATCAGCTGACGCCAACAGGCAGGAACAGGGAGACAAAACACTAGAGCACAGCACCCAAGGTCGCAGGTGCCTGTGCTCAGTCAGGACAGTATATAAACTGGGTCAAAGTTATGGGCCTTGGAAAATATTCCCCAACCGATATAATAATAAAAAATGTTCTCCTTTTTATGATTATTTAATTTAAATTAAGCTTTTTTTCTATAGAAAGGTTTTGTTTTTGAAATATCTTCCAATTTATGGGGCCAATTGGGGACTCCAAATCAATGCATCATTCTTATAACATGTTGAAGGAGTCTATTTTATATGAATATTTTATAAAACAAGTACATGCAAATAACAAAAATGTAAATGTATATGTACAAATAGTATAAATATAAATACAGATAGAGTTTATGATGACTACAGAATAGGTGGCACACTTAATTTGGCAGATCTGTGAAGCTCTTCTGACGTGTGTACTTTAACCCCCCAATTCTTTCTTTTTATGATGTTGCCTTTTCAACCACAAAACCCCAATGTATCTTTTATGCTCTGCATTTCCTTTTAATGTAAATGTATTATGTACTAACAAACAGAAGAGGGCAGCATTGCTCTGTTATACAAACATCACAGTCTGAGCATATCCTATTGAGACTGCAGTAGCGTTCTTCTTATGCTTTCCAATTTGTTAATGCAATGAAACTGAATCTATATTTTGGATGATTAATATCTTCCCCCTCAGCCTCAACTTGTCTATTAGCATACTATAACCTTTCAACTCTATGTATATTTGTCCTTCATGCCATCAGTATTCAGTTTGTTATGTTAAATGTTTTTTATTAGAAGCTTTTATACTTTTATGCTTCATCTATTTATAGTGAAGTTGCCTTTGGGGACTCTTCCACCAGCTGGAACAGCCCGTGGTGAGGAGGATTGATTCCTGGCTATGTGCCAACGCCAACACTTTAAGATGTATCTTCAGCAGATGGCAATCTATCGCCTCTAAATAGCTGATATTCTCACAGCCTGCTCTCTGTAGCAACATGATGCTGCCACACAGAGAGTTATGAATGAACAACCATATAGATTGTTTTATGTTGAGTTAGAGATTTAGTGGGTCCGTCTGAAATCTGGGGGTTTGAATTCATTGAAGTCATGTTGCACACTGTAGTCACAGTGAGCTGTGGAGCCGCACACTAGTCCCTCTGTGCTGCTTTGACCCACAGCACGCTCACATTGGAGGATATATGGAGAAGCCATGCTTGAGATGTGTTCTTTCTTTACTGTTATTCATGTGCCCTATCACACACCTCTCATATCAATAGTTAGTTGCCATAAGTATGTTTCAGAAAGGAAAAGAGACCTCTGGGGAATATGTCATCAACATGCTGGCAATGATTAACTGTAGAGGGAAAGGAATTACTGTTGCCTGTAGGATACGGACTCTGAATTTAGTGTGAGGCTCTCATCACACTCAGTGCTGTATCATTTTGCCACTTCACCAAGACACTTTTAGTACTACTGTTACGCGTGAAAGCAGCTTTCATTCAATAATGCATGAAACCAGGCCAACTGCATGGTTGCATGACATCACCATTTTCCACATTTGTTTTTCATATTAGAACAAAAATGAACAGAAAACCAGAAAGTCTTAAATATCTTACAATTTTTAAGATTCCCTTATAAATGAACAATGAAACCATGTGTCTCTAAAAACAAAACCATACATCTTTGTAAAATATTATAAATCTGTAATGCATATAACAAGGTGAGAGAGCATCAATATGAATATATGTGACAATAAGTGATTCATATATCTAAAACTAGCTATAAAAAAGAAAATCAAAACCTTACATTATTAATCTTTAAATGCATATAAAAAGGTGATAGGGCATCAATATGAGTTAATGTAACAATAATTGTTTCATATATCTAAAACTACTAATAAAAAAAGAAAACCAGAATAGAAACTAAGACACTGCAGAGAGGTGGACGTGTGCAGTGAACCATTGCACAGAAGAATAGTATTAGTTATTAATATATGAGAACACGCATCATGCAAAAAGACGAATCCAGTCCTCCTTCAGATTGATCTCCAGTGAGAACATTAGTCATGAAGCAACGATTACATTTCTCAGGAATATGACTTATCCACTTTAAACTTTGATCTGAGAACCTCATAAAGGGTAGGATCAGGGTTCGAGTTATGTGGGAGCCAATGGGAGCTGAGCTCCCATAAGGAGGGGTCTGAGCTCCCACGGACGCAGTGAAATCATACATCTGTGGGGGTCGCTAATACATTACCAACAACCATTATTTTAATCACAAATAATGCATGTGTCAATGTAATGAGTATTATTTACGTTAAAGGTTGGGTAGGTAAGTTTGAGAAACCGGCTCGAGATACACTTTTTGTTATATTCCATGGAATGCTCTTAACATCCCGATAGCAATGAATATCTTAAGTGCTTTGACAAAAAATCCATACAAAAATTTCATCTGTGGAAGCTGTAATACTGTAAAAAGTAGGACCAATCATTTTAGCCGGCCCGGTATGTGTATGATGTAACTATTTTATAGACTAATATGTAGCTTTATGAATAATGCCGTGCCACATTTTATAAGCTATTTGTTTTGAATGTAAAGTAGTGAAGTGGGAGTTTAAACTAACAGAGATTTCATAAGTAGAGCAACTTCCTTATGCCCGGGCAGCCGAAAATATGTTTTGTGTGCACAATTTTGGGCCTTTGGGGACTCCGTAGAATCACCGCAGACAATTACATTTCAGGAAGTTACTTTGGAACTTCCATGTAAAGTTTCACGCTATTTTTTGCTAAATGAAAGTTAAAACGTTTCATTATCACTCATATCACTTTGTCTGATCTCTCTCTCTCTCTCTCTCTCTCTCTCTCTCTCTCTCTCACTCTCACTCTCACTTTCTCGCCCTGTAATTAGTTGATTCAACTTCTTAATGTCAGTCTAAATAATACAATTATGTTGGTGCATCATGGCATGTGGCTCATTAAAAAAAAGTACAGACTGTACAGCTATTATCTACCTCTTGTATAACAGCAAATTGGTCAGAACCGGCCCTGGTGTCATCCCCACAGCACCCCCCATTTGAAACATGTTCCCACGGCTATGATTTCATATTTAAGTTTGTAGCAAGTAGAGGGCTGCTGGCAGGCCCGGACTGGCCATCGGGAGGGCCGGGAGGTTTCCCGATGGCCTAGCGATTTTTTAAATTTTTATGTAGGAAAAATGCGTTCTATTGTGAACGCAACGCTGCGCAAATGTGGGTTTGCCTCACACAGGGTGACTGTCTGTCTACATGATGTGGCATCTGTTTCATATGGGTGTTTCCATAGATCTAGTCTCTTTATTTTCCCCTCAAAATGCACCAGATTGATGCATTTAACTCCAAAATTAAAAAGAAATCTTACCAGGGGGGGCATGCCCCCGGAAGCCCCTAGAGGATTTGAGGTCCACCCCCAAAATATGTTCACATGGATAGGTTCCCAAATACATTTGCACATTTTTTAAAATAGTAACCCCTGTCCATATGTTTATTATTGGTGTGTGTGTGTGTGTGTGTGTGTGTGTGTGTGTGTGTGTGTGTGTGTGTGTGTGTGTGTGTGTGTGTGTGTGTGTGTGTGTGTGTGTGTGTGTGTGTGTGTGTGTGTGTGTGTGTGTGTGTGTGTGTGTGTGTGTGTGTGTGTGTTTGAGTGTGTGTGCGCGTGCATGCGTGCGCACGCGTTAGTTTCAAAGACCCCCATAGAGCTCAGTTTATAACTCGAACCCTGGGTAGGATCATGCATCTTGGATCAGATGCATGGTCTTTTGATCTTTCCAAGGATTCTGGCTTCAATGTGGTGTTCAGTTTATATCTGTGCAGTATAATCTTACAGAAAATGTGTATACTAAATTGCCCTGTATTCCCTGAATGTAAATGCTGAAGCTATCAACAGATCTGCCAAAATCATTTTAATTCCACTACACAATTTAAATGTTGGCAGCAGTCGACATCTGTTTAAGTATTTCGCAAAAACAGAATCTGCAAAGAAGCAAGAAATCAGGTCAAAGATGTCTCCAGCATCTGAACCACTCTCTACAAAGCACAGGGCTTCACATTGTGAAGGTGCCTCTTCACAATGTTGTGTGTTCTCATTTGGAGACAAGCAACATCATTTATCTTGTGCTAGCGGTTGCCTGCAAGTTGTCAGTTTGCCCGCCGCGAGGCACACTTCAAAGCCTGTGAATGCAGCTGCTTAATGTTTTCTGTGGCTTT